GAGCCTGGGGTTAACAATATCAGTCCTTGGATACTTTATTTAAAAGGATTCTAACTTAACTCAGTGATTAGCTATCCTACCACCTACAGCATAATACAGTTGTTTAAATGTTGGTTTGAGTATGGGGCAATTAAAAAAAAGAAACTACTAAGTGTCCAAACCTACTATTTTGTCTTTCGTTCTCTTCAGCATCAGCAACTCAATCATTCAGTTTTAGTGACCTTGACCCACTTTAAGGTAAAGTGTGTCTCTTGGCTTCCCATACTGACCTTGACCTAAAAGCAAGTCCTTGTGTGGGAGGCCTCCATCCCAGGCAGCTGCCTTCCAGAAATACAGTCCTTTCCTCAAGCTGCAAGCTGCTTTCAGCGTTTCAGAGTCCCTCCATTTGTAGACACTTTGCGGGAACCAAACATGCCTCAGCTAGAGGTAGAGAGTGAAAGTCTTGCCTTTCTCTTTCCCATACACACACCTTATCTTCGTCTCAGTTTTTAGAAAATCAAATATCATTTGGTTTCTAAAAATATTTATCTTGGAGCTTGGGGTAAATTCCTAGTTGATGAGAAACCGTTGTCTCAGAGAAGGCAGGGAATAAACCTCCCAACTGCTAACATTCTGAGCAATTTCAGACGTTCATTTAGCAAAGGCAAACTCAGCTTTCTGCGGCCTCCCCCATCTAATTGAAAGCCTTTGGGAGAAGATCCTACCTGGAAGTATTCCAAGAGGAAGCCAGAAAAGGCCCAGTGGGAGCTGCAATGGCCTATTTTCAGTTACCAATCAAACCAACACTCAGTTACTATGCCAATGGAGTCAGGAAAGTGGTGCCCTGATATTTATTCCCACAAAACGTATAAATATGCACTCTCTTTTGAAAGATGATGTGAAACCTGGTGACCAATAAATAATTGTGAGAACCCCAAACTTTCCTTGAACTACACTAGTCTTACTCTATGCTTGGTGGTCACCCAAAGAACAAAAGCTTTGCAGTACTTAGGAGTAGAAATACCTAAAATCCAGCTCTCCAGCCTCTCTTATAGCCATAGCGAGTGAGATTCTTTAGACCTACAAACCTACTGAGATTTTTTTCCATTTTGTTCTCTTTGTTTACTCATATTTCAGTGTTCTTTTTCCATGATTTTGCGGCGATAAGAAAATTTAATGGCCTCCCCTCCTATTCCAGATTTTTAGAAGCTAAATCCACAGCCCATATATAATGCCAACTAAAGTGGCTACAACCTGAACCTGAGCGATATGAATTGTTAAGTATTACAGCTCTGAGTGTTTAGTTATGGTTAATTTATAACTAAACACACTAGTATTTAGTGGAACAAAAAGGTCATTAGTGTCTTACTAGGAAGCAATTAAATTAACAGCTCAAAGCCATTCATCAAATCACAAAACAGATGCTGAACTTTTCTGTAGGAGATCAGATTCTATAATGCAGGAAAAGAGCTAAATTCAAAACACAGCAAAACACTCCAACCTCCCTTCAGCTTCTCTCAAAACAAAAGAAAACAAAAAAATCCACCTCTTTCATCTGTAGCCAGAGTCCCAGAGCTCTTTACATTATAGAGACTCTCAGAGAGAGCAAGGCAGAGAGAACTATGGAAATCAACAGAAACAATTCTTCAGACTCACTCATGAAGTCATATTCCGTCTCCCCTACCACACACCAACAGGGTTTTGCTCATCCACTATGTGCAATTCTTTGGCTCCAATTTATGAGAAGTGAGATTGTTGTCCTATAATAAAACAATATGTTCAAATGATGTGATATGAACAACTATATAAAAGGATGTTCATGCTTCCCTAAAAATAACCATCAAATATAATTGTATTGGGAAAGAAAGTTTAGAAAATATTGCCTAGCATGTACATACTCAGTCTCAGTTACTTGGATCAATCAGCCTTCACCTGTTCTTGAGAAACAATACCCCAGAGACCGTGAAGGACTGGAAAGAACATGGAGTGTTCAGCTGGCTACGGACTTTTGAGATGGAACGAAAAGTGGGATTCTGGTCCTGATATTGCCATTTATACAGCAATTGTCTTTGAGAAATGAGTTTGATTTGCTTAAGTTCCAGCATCATCACAAGTTAAACGCAAATGATGCTTAACTCTTGCAATTGTTTCAAAGAATGGAAAATATGATGTAGCAGGAATTAGAGGTAACATTCAGATTAAAATAATTTGAGAAGAACTAAATGGCTCTCTAAAAATGGGAGACAACTCATGATAGTGTAACACCCCAAAATTAGTATTAGTAGACATGCCACTACTGATTGGCAGAGAGGAGAAGCCATCATAGAGAGGGCAGCCCGACTGAGGTTTGAAGTAGACACAGCTGTTAGCTCATGGTGATTGTGTCCTTGCTTTTTCAATCTCCTCCATGCCTTTCACTGGCTGGCTCCAGGACTGCCTCTCACTAACGTGGCACCAAGGGCTTATTCCCAAGTCCACAGAACAGGTTGGGAGAATGCTGACACAAGGACCCAAATAGACTGACAGTACAAATTATACAATCTAGGACAGCTAACACTTGTCTTAATATCAAAGCTTCCAGTACATGGATTATGTGTTCAGCAGTATAAAGTTGTGTGAACCTTTAGTAGTTTAAGAAAGAGGCAATCACTGCTTCCAAACTAATGAAATACCAAGTCACACTGAATAACTTTTAAAAGCTATCAGGGAGTTGGATAATTTGTCCATGCCCAAATTTAACTGCCAAGTTTATGCCCGGGCTCCACACTGTCTCATACAATGGACAGGCACTGATCAGTTGATTCCATTAAGGTCTCCTATAACATTTGAGCTGTGCTTACAACCTCACACAGTCACTGGCTTTCTTACAGTAACCCAGGCTATCACCTTTGGGTCTGAGCACAGGCTCACATTCTTAAATAAGTACTTAAGGAAGTGGCTAAGCCTGACCACACATACTGCGAAGGCCATTTTAAATGCACTATGGATAACCGGACTGCAGGTTATCACGGAGGGCGACTGTTTTATCAGTACTGTCACCTCCCTATTCTGCTGTTAACTCTACATGACTGTGGAACAAACTACTTAACCTTGTTTCCCTAGCTCATTTCCTCACCAGTAAGTTGGCAAAGCTAAGAAAGGAAGACAAATTGGGTGCAGCAATCTCTAAGGTCCCCACTCCAGGTGTCTATATCTTTATCAGGTTTTACAAGCTCTGGACAAGTCATATTGTATACAATCATGCAGCCATTTCTCGTAGTAGGTTTCCCCCGTCAATGTGTCAAGAATTAAGTTTGACGCTGATTAGATTATGACTAATTTTTTTCCTAGTGCAACCCTTTCACCAAGATAAACTGATCCCAATACACACACCACCCATAATCAGAAATCAGGCAAAAGCCCTGCCTAGAATCAAAAGACAAGAAAGGAATTGTAGAATGAAAACTAAAAACTAACATTGGCTGAGTGTTTCCAACATGCCAGATGCTCCTACTAAATTAATAGGTTTTAAGCAATTCAGTCATGAAATAACTAAAGGAAGGAGCAGGAAAGCCACCCGAACTTTATACTAACCAGCCAATGTTAGGAATCAATTCTCCCAGAATGCCTAGCACTCTGTCATGGTTTGTCAAAGATTGGTTAGATTGATTTTATCTTTGCAAGTGTCTAACACTGGACAACAGACAGGACAGACAGGACAACATCGCTAGCACAGAAACCATAGGCATTCACTGCTGGTTAACATTCTAACCCCTCAGGCTGACAGCTGCGGCACAGCTGTCCGTGTGTAGGCATGGCGTCCACTAGGGCAGCCCTCCCATTGTTCCCACGAGCTGGAGGATCAGGAATGGGAATGGAGGAGCTGAGGCCAATAGAACACTCACACTGGAGGCTATGCCAGAAGAACAAAGTTGTGTTTCTGACCCAGTGATCTCATAGTGGCCGCACATTTGTTAAAGGGGAGCAAATCCATATGAAAGTATAAGAAACCAGAAAACGTGGCCTTCAGAATTCATTTCTCCTGCTAGGGCTTTCTTCTCGCTATAAACGAACTTTGTTTCAGAACTTTTGGTTGTCTGATATTTTGCGTTTGAAAAATGTTTTAACCGGCATCTCTTAAAGTTTCTGTGCATAGCAATTAATTTAAAAAATGTACATTTGGAATGGAAATATGATGTGAGGATTTGGAAGGAAGAACAAATACACACTGACCACCAGGCTATACCAGGCTCTCATAAAAGTTTGTAAAAATACATAATGAAAACCGAGGCTGTGATAAAAGTGAAGAAGGAAAGCATGCAGAGACAGAGATGCAATGGGGGTGCCACTCTCAATGGCATGCAGAGACAGAGATGCAATGGCCAGGGTGCCACTCTCAATGGCATGCAGAGACAGAGATGCAATGGCCAGGGTGCCACTCTCAATGGCATGGTGAAAAAGGACTCAGGATCTAGATTTGGGAGAGCAGAGCCACATGACCACCCGAGACAAGATCATTAGTTAGAAGAAGGGAGGAAATCTAAGTCCTAAAATGTGAGCAGGCTTAGCTTAACTCATTCTGATGATTATGGTTATGATCCCTGGCAGAGCAACCAATCCTCCTAAAACTCTTAAGTATTACCTTCCAACAGGTATACATACACACACGTACACACCATGAACATACACATGAACACATACACACACACAGCTTCTAAACTTAATATACTAGCTTTAGTTTCTTTGATTCACATACCATGTTGAATTTTTGCCAGTTTTGTCCTTGGTAAATGTACTGATAGACTTTGATATTACTTCTTAGTTTTCTTTAGATTTAACCTAAAACTTTTCTACTAAGTAACAGAAATGGAAAAATCGAAGGAGTTTTATCCTGAATGTGTTATCCTTTCCTTTGACACTAATTTTATTCAAGCATTTTAGAACTTCCTACATAAGCACTACTTACATCACTTCTCTTTTCTCCTTCTCCCCATCTGGCTCTTTTCCTGCTCCTCCACTCCCTCCTCAGTTCATGACCTCTTCTTATTTTTGTCGAGACTACCAGAATTTTTCACTATTCAGTTAGCCTGTTGGACTTACAGATGATGTTTTGACAAGTGGAAATACATGAGGAGGTAAGTGCTAGGGGTGGAGAGGAGTGGACAGCGGGGAAACTGTGGTTGGAATGTATTGAATGAGAGGGCAATCCATTTTCAATACTAAAATACTGACAAAATTAATTTAAATGTACTTAAATATGGAGGAAAATAATCATTGTTTTGAATTTGTACTAGAAAATCTTCAGCATGCCTGAAGAGACAACATAGTTCTTTGGAAACAGGATATATGTAAGCTATTTGCTATTGGTTTTGGACAGATGATTAAAATGTGTGTCTATTAATGTCCTTTTTTTAAAAAAAAAGCAGGCTAAAGAGCAAAGAGAAGAAAATTCTGGTAAAGTCTATAAAGTATTGAGAAAAGTCTCTGGAGACTCGTGCTCACACCAGATGTGGTTACATTCCTCTTCCACATGCGATGGTAGAGTCTTAGAAATATCAGAAATTAGATTTTGTCAGTATTTAAGCCAAAATGGCAAACATGCTCTGTGTAGCTACCTCTCCTCCAACACCCCCCACTCTGGAGGGCCAATCAGAAACTAAGCTATAGAGCTTAACATTTAAGTCATGAAAATGTCTGTGTGTTTAAAAAAAATGCATAAGTCTGGTAAATGACCAGCTCGAAATAACCTCGCCGGCTTTGTACTGATCTGTTTTCTATTAGACACTGCAGTATCAGGAATTTTGGACACAGACTTCTTCAGGAAGCAAATACACAATCTCCACCAAGTGCCAATCGCAACATTGTAGTAGTCATTTTGAAGAAAAGTTGTACGACAGGAGTGATCTATAGTGAGATACTCTGCTCAGAACTTGGTCTCCGCCATGAGACTGTCACTGGAATTTAGTCACTGATCCCAATCCAAAGTTTTGGAACAACTGATAACAGCATTAGAGATATTCTTTATTGTCACTCCCTAAACCTTCTGAAGTTTGTTCTATGTCTTCCAGTATAAGAAGCCAATTGGCTTCATGGTATTAAATACCAGCATTGAAGTTCCTAGAGTTAGAGAGTGCTGTTCCATCCAAGTGTCTGTTGATTTACAAGCAAGATTGAGAAAGGATAGAATGCAGCCATCAAGACAGATGCTATAACCAGCCAAGAGTGTTCAAGTTCAGGCTCTGCTATTTAGACAAGGTGTCTCCTTTGCTCCAGTTTTCTAAGTTAAGAAAGGTAAGATGATAACTGAAACAATAGCAAAAGATGCTTTGAAAACTCACTGAGCTAATATATGGAAAGATTTGTTTGAGGGCCTATGTATAGTAAAGTAGGATCCAAGTGGTATCTAAATAGAATCAAATGAGTCTTTCTAGAGAAAAACAAACAGAAAACAAAATAGGAGAGGAGAAAATGATATGAGAAAGATAGTTACCACTCAGGCAGTGTTGGCAACAACAGGAAGTAGAAGTTATGAGAAATGGACTTCCCTAGAGAGCAGGCAGAAGAAAACAACTCAGTAGCAGCCTGATTTCAGTGTACTAACACTGCTATCGAGGTCTGGTTTCCAGAACACAGAACACAAAGAATTCAATTCTGTTATCCTGAGTCACGAAGTTTGTAGATAGTTGCTACAATGGTGAAAATTAACACATCACCATAAAAACAATAGATAAAATGTTTTACCCATCTCTTCTTCCCTTTTCCATATCCATGATTTTTGAAGTTAGGCTTTGCGGTCTTTTCTTCTACAGACAAGAGTGTGCACACTCACCTCATTAACTGTTTTGCTAATCAAATGAAAGCAGAGGTGACATTGTGTCATCTCCAGGACCAGTTCACCTCATGTTTCTATTCTTCTGCCATTTACATATTTAAAGGGGTTTCTTTTGGAGGGGGTCAGCATGCCTGTGAACATGCATATGTCCATGTCTGCACATGCATTTCTAGATCAGAAGATAGCCTCTCATACTGCTCCTTAGGCACTGTCCACATTATTTTTTGAGACAATGCCTGAGACTGTCCCGATTCACCAGATAACTAAGCTGGCTAGCCACTCAGGCCCTGGGAGTCTCTATTTTCTTGGTGCTAGGATTACATGAATATGTCACAATGCCTGCTTCTTTTTACATGAGTTGTGGAGATCCAACTCAGGTTCTCATGAATGCATGGCAAATACTTTACCTACTGAGCCATCTTTCTAGCTCTGTTCCCTTAGTTTCGGCTATATGAGAAGAGGACACACCACAAACAATCTATGAGTAGCAGGACTGTGAATAAGCTGAGAGCAGGACAAACACAAGCGAAAAATAAGTGACTCCTAAGTTTTCATTATATAGTCATAACTAGCCGAGACAATTTTTATCGGGATAGTGATGAGATGCATAAAAATAAAAATAATGGTTTTTGTTTGTATCTGCCAGCCTATTAGACAGTTTAATGGGTTAAAATAGCATTACGCTGCTTACCTGAAAAACATGAGACACAGCTAATCACATGACAAAAAATATAATGAGTGAAAGGAACCTACCTATCTCACTATTTAGAATGTGGTTTAAATGGCTCACTGATTGCCAACTCCTTTTAAGAAGTTAATGTTGGACAAGGGTGTGTGAAAAGCTTTCAATATTCCTCTGGTATTCCAGTTGCCTTCATTTCCCCTTTATTAACTATGACTCTCCTCGAGTTCCTTCTAGGTTGAAATCATGACCAACTCTCATGAGGAAGAAGATATAATGACTTCAGGTTCCTGGTCTAAGAGGTAATAGGTGAGGTGACTCAAGTTTTATCTCAACTTGGTTAGGCTACACTACCCAATTATCAAATCAACACTAGTGTCAGTGTGATTGTGAAATACATAAAGGCGTGTTTGCCATTCGTAATCAGCCAGCTTCTAAGTAGAACAATGATAATGTCTAGAGCCCCCATTAATCCTGGAGTTTACAAAAAGCAGAAATTCTGCCTGAGTACATCAGTGCAATCCCTGTTTGGTTCTCAGTCTGCTGCTCTGCCTCCATGTTTGAATCTAATAGTTCCCAACATTGCATATCCAATTCCTGATTACAAATCTCTTAAAGCACATTAATCAATGTGGACATTATTATTAGTTTTGACTATATCAATTCATTACATTCCTAATATATAGCAGGATATTTAAGGATCGTATATAATACGTATAAGGGAAAAGTGTATGTGTGTGTGTGTGTGTGTGTGTTTATGTGCATATGTTCATGTGTGCATGTAATTGTGTATGTATTTGAGGTCAGGCCTCTTCCTCTGGAGATTCCCAACTGATACAGTGGTTCAGTTTGTAGTAATGAGCAGCAAGATACCTAGGGAGGGAAGAATGTGATTTCACTTTTGAGCCAATACAAGAGAGCCATAACTCCTGCCAGACCTCCCCACTAGACACTCCTGAGTCCTGCAGCTCCCTCTTTTCATTATCCCAAAATCAGAACCCAACTACCCATAGATGTTTTCTTTCCTAGATTTTATTTTTGATTAGAAAACAACTACCTCACATAAGACACAAAGATCGGTGAGTATGCATGATTTCATCAAGGACTCTGTGCTACTGTGGTCATAATTTATTTGTAAGATAGACACCTTAAGAATCTGGTGAGTGTGTGTGGAACCACCCCACAAATACTGATGCTCATTGACATGATCGCAACAGGTTAGCATGAAGATAAGTGCTTCACTCCCATCTATTAGAACAGCTCATGGCTCTACAGTATCTATACAGTATTGTCCAATGGAAAGTTCCACCTTCTCTGTCTTGCAAACTAGTGTATAGATTGCCAAAAAAGGGCAGATTTAAAGATCCTTTGTCCACGTCCCATCTCATTCTTGTCCAGAATCCCCTTGAGTGACAAGAATGACAGGGGATTCACTATCATTATAAGCCATCTCCTCTCCATATCAATCGTAATCACAGTCCCAAGATTCCTAACTTCCATCTCTTCCATGCCTTCTAAATACCAACGAGATCAGACCCTTGTTTTAATTTTGAGACTAGGTGAGATCCAGCATGTTCATGGTGGTGTGGTCATATACTTCATCGCTCCTCTGTTTCCAGATCCTAGTGTTCCTCAGAGGAAGTCGAATTACTCTTTCAACATAACTACAACGACAATAGTTGTGGTGGTCCTACCTGTTTTCCATGTCCTCAGGCCTGAGTTTCCCACTGCAGATTCAAATTTTCTAATTTATGTTACTTTCTCTTTATTTCACACAAACTTCCTCTTCTTGTTTTCTTTTTTGTTTTTGTTTTGTTTTTTATTTTTATTTTTTGTTTTGTTTTATGAGACATGGTTTCTCTGTGTAGTTTTGTAGACCAGGCTGGCCTCATACTCTCAGAGATCTGCCTGACTCTGCCTCCTGAGTGCTGGTATTAAAGGCATTCTGTTTGTTTGTATTTCAAGACTGGGTTTCTCTGTGTAACACTCCAGGCTGTTCTGGAACTCACTATGTAGCCCAGACTGACCTTGAACTCACAGAAATCTGCTTGCTTCTACCTCTGCAGTGCTGGCATTAAAGGTCACACCTGGAAAACTTTCTCTTCTTTACAAAATAGTTTTTATCTAAGGAATGTGTCTACATTTCATACTTTCAAATGCCCCACGACAAACATGTAATTTGGATAAGAAAATAAACTTTACCTCTCTGCTTTCTAATTGTAGAGTATGTTATAACAAGTCAGAAAGGAGTCTTTGAGGTGACACAGAGCAAGGGAAGAAGGATGGTGAGGTAAATAAGAGGCCAGGGTTACTTCATAAGGACTGCAGGAATTTGCTTTTCCTTGTCTTCTGTACAAGTATGCCACAGACGAGACTATAAAGCTGCTTGAGTATGGGGGACAGGGTGCGTCTTAAAAGCTTGCTGCCTATTTAAATGAATCAAACTCAGACTAGATTGGAAGGTGACTCTCTTCTCTTGTCAGTCTCTAATGGTTTTACAAAGGTTGATAAGACCTAGAATCCCTTGAGAACTCATCTTCCCTAGTTTTTAACCAAGTTGGACTGAAGCAGTCTCACAGACACACAGCATCTGAGGACTCTGTCTCCCAGCACAAAAGAATCCTCAGTCCCAGAAATGTGCTGTTCTATTTCATTGCTGACAGATTTTTTTCCAAAATGTCAAGGCAAACCTCTGTAGAACTAACCTAGCAGTATATGCACTCTAGCGGGGGATTTCTTTTCCAATTTAAAAGTTTTCAATGTCATAAATATTAATAATGAAAGAAGATCCCTATGACTACAGCCTACTTGGCCTAGATTCTCGTTTTATCCAAATTCTTATAGATTACTTATATATGTCTGTCTGTCTGTCTGTCTGTATGTATGTATGTGGTATGTTTGTGAATGTGTTGTTTATAAGTGCAATCAATGAACATGAGTGCCTGTGGGTACAGGTGCCTGTGCTTGTATATGTCGGTCAGAGGAGAGCATCAAATGTCTTACCCTCTTGTTCTCTTCATTATTTCTTTTAGGATGGTCTCTCACTGAGTCTGGAGTCTGTGCTCTTCATTAGGCTGAAAGAGAGATAGCTCCAGAGATCACCCTGCCTTTATTCAGAGCTATAATTACAGACTTGCCAAAGACCATGCTTGACTTGTTACTTGGGTGATGGGCTCTGAACAATGATTTGCCTATCTTCACAGCAAACATGCTTAGCTAGTAAGCCATCTCTGTAGTCTTGGAGTTATGTTTTACAGAAAGAAGGAAAAATTTCATGGATTGTGGTTCAAGCTATATAAATTTATATTAAAATATTTAAATATCTATTCTGTTAAAGAAGCAGGTCTCACATGCAAAACACTTTTAGTATTTACTAGTAACTCTGTTGTCAATATCTAGAATAACTTTCACTAGCTGGGAAGATATCAGAACTATGTTGAAATGAGTAGTCTGTGAATCATTTTTCTTCTGATACTGCTTAGCTTGCCTACCTCAAAACACAGAGACCCCTCCCCTGTTTCCATAGCACATAAATGCTTGCACTTCTGGATGAACAAGTAGATGAAGGGAGTGCACTTGCTTGGAATGATTCCGCATATAAACTTGAGGGCAAGCCACTGTGTTGACATGTGTGATAGCCATGTAAGCCTTCCTCACAATCTTGAAGAACATATTTCATTTTCAACACTTGAAAGATAATTGAAATGAAGAGGGAGTTAGTTTCCCAAGGATCACAGGAAGAGAAGACATTCCAAACAGAACCATGAAGGATAAGAAGATATCACAGAAGAAGGAGGGAAGAAGAGAAACACTTATTAATGCTACCAGGAGACCAGTCAGCTTCCATAATAACATTTTTAAGTTTTTACTTTTTTATTTTATTTTTTCCCTTTTTTTCTCTTAAATTTCGTTTTATTTGGGATTGAGCAGGGGCAAAGGAATGAACGGGATCAGTATACATGATGTAAAAGACACACCACAGAAAGAAAGTAAGAAAACAGAAAGAAAGGAAGGAAGGGAGGGAGGAAGGGAGGGAGGAAGGAAGAAGGAAAGAAAAGCGAAGGAGATGGTGTAGTAGGTAAAATGTGTGCCGTATGAGTATGAGAACTTGGCTTTGGATCCTCAGCCCACATGTCAGAAAATGGTCACTGCTGCAAGCATCTATTATCCCAGTGCTGGGGAAGCAGTGACAGGTGAACACATAGAGCTCATTCCCTAGTAAGCAGAGCCAAATTCACAACAGGTTCTGTGTGAGAACCTGTCCCCAGTAAGAGAAGTGATAAAGGACAGCATGAACCTCTGGCCTCAACATGGATGCTCCTGCATGAGCAATCTCCCCTGACACACACAGCCACATACTTACTATGCACATAGGAAAAAAAGAATAAAGAAAGAATGGAAGGAAAGAGAGAGAGAGAGAGAGAGAGAGAGAGAGAGAGAGAGAGAGAGAGAGAGAGAGAATGAGGTGGGAGGGGTAGACCTGTAACCCAGCTACTTAGGAGGCTAACACATGAGGGTGACTAAGTTCAATACATGCCTGGGCAATAGAGTGATTTCAAGGCCAACCTGGGCAATTTAGGGAGATTCGATTGAAGTATTCTAAGGACAGCTGTGTCCTTAAGTGAATTTTACTACTTCATTCAGCTTACATGCCAACTTCCTTTCCCTAATCAATCCATTAACAAATATTTATTGAGTAGTTTCATTTCACAGAACACAAGTTAGTCAACGTGGGAATATATCCCTTACAGGGTGAGGCAAAATTCATTAAATGGTTGAAAACCAACATAGCAGGGTGTTCAGTTCACATCTCCGGTTTAAAGGATGTCTTGTTTAATTATTTATAAATCCATTAAATTTGTATTAATAAGAGTTAGCAAGTGTTGGGTGATCACCACATGCTGGGAACCCCAAGGCTGAGTGCATCCTTTGTTTGTAGAAGTCCCCAGCATTCTGCAGGATAGAGCTCGATTGTCGCTTGTAAACTCTCCCATAACCCCCAGGCTGTGGCATCTTCTTCCTCTGAACTCACAAAGCCATGTGTACATTGCATACCCCCTTAAAGACGAGTATTCACACAGTACATTTCTACATTACAGGGGAAGAACAGTATTTTATTTCTGCTGTGTCAACAGTGCCTACGAGGTTGCCCAATGCATGCTTAATAAGTGTGTTCATCAATTAATTCATTTGATGAACACAACCCAAACTTACTCCGGTTGGAATATGTTCACTTGCAAAGACAGTGTGTGTGTCTAGGGGGGGCACCATGAGCTTTTCTTTCCAGGAAAGCATATCTGATTTCTTTTCTCTAGAGGATACTGGCACTTTCTCTTTGTCAGATCTCCTGAATTATTTTGTTGTCTTCATGGGAGCTCGGTTCTCTTGCTTATTGACTGCCATCTTGTATTTTTGGCCCATGATTGACAGAGCAACCGGAATCTATGAGCAGAAAATCAATAATGCAAGGCCTTCTGACGGTCCATGGATTCTCTTGAAGAAACTGGCTTCCTGGTCTCAGTGGCAGCCACTGATCAGAAAATGTAAAACCAGCCAGCCATGAATAGGAGTGATGTAAAGTCAGCCCCCCCTGTTTCTTTGCATGAGAGCGTTTTTTATATTGGTTTCCTGTGTTTAAATTCTCTGATGCTTCTCAGAGAGGAAGATGAAAAGCTGGCTGGTTGGTGGAAGAGAAAGGCGAGGGGAAGGAGAGTGAACAGTGAGTGAGAATCCTCAACTTGTATAAATTTTACCCTTTGTCTTCTCTTCTCCACACTAACCTTCCCTGGTCCTTAAGCTTAAGGGATCCTAAATGCAAATTTGTTCTTTAGCATAACATTTCCCTTGTTCAAGTGTAAGAGACACTCCAATAGACATGAAAGAGTCCAGACTTATTACTTGCAAGTTAGCATTTTACTGTTAATGTAGTCTGCCACCCTTTACCTCCTAGTTTTATGGTTGTTTAATTATAGCCTGCAGGCCTGTGGTGGTCCTTTGCAACTTCAAGTAAAATCTGGCTTCCAGTGAAGGCTCCCCATTAGGACCTCCTGCTGAGTTATTGATTATTAAGGTAATGCACTCTTAGGGTTGCATCCTTAACATGGAAATGTAAAAATGAATGGCTTGTAACCACTGGATTTAAGAAAAGAATCTTGCTTAACAGCAGTGTTCTCTTGCTACTTAAATAACTGTTCATTTAAGCCACAGTAACGAAAAATACAATATACCTGGTGAAGCAAATCTATGATCAACATTGTTTCTTCTGGACTCTCTAAACAAATAGCAGTTTCCTTGGGACAATTTAACACATCTATGAAAAAAATGGGAAAAAGGAGGAACTAAGGGAAGGAGGAAGAGGAATGGGAGGAGGAGTAGGCATGAAGGCTAAAAAAAGGGGGGGGGAGAAGGGGCCTCATGCCTCTAACTTAACATGATCTACAAAGAGAGACGCCCATATAAGCAAAACCATGTATCAGGTTTTCTATGACTATAGCATTCAGGTTATGGGCCTGTTACTGAGTAGGGAACAAAGGCGAAAAAGAGAGAGAGAGAGAGCCGAGGCCTCTTCATTATTTAGATGGAAAAATATGAGTCTGGGTTCTAACAGGGCACTCCTCTATGACAGTCCTCCCTGGGAGTCCACACAAGATAAATACGGGCAAACGGCACGCAGGAAATGGAGTCGGTTAGATAAATCATCTGTAGTTGAGGCGTGGTGAGAGAGCTGCCTTTTCTCTCTGCACAGGGAAGACACTTCCGTTACTAGAGCTGCTTGCTGTTCAGTGCGGATACCCACCATTAAAGCTGCAGGCTCAGCCATGGCGAAAGTCTGGGAGACAGAGGATGAATTGGGCAGGTAGTCCGCCCGAAACAGGTGCCTTGCTCTAGGAAGTGCAACAATCGGAGGCTGCTAAATTCACTTGACTCTCCAAGAGGAAGCCGAACCATCGATCATCTTTTTAACCACAAAATCTATGGAAAACAGATCCAACGGTTACTCTCAGAGGCACGTATGGTTAGTTTTTGAGGATGCAGGAATCCTACTGTCTTCACATGCCTAAAAAAAAGATAAAATGCTGCTTGCATGAGAGTTTGTATACCGGGTGCTCTGGAAGCATTCTGATAATTACAACAGGCTACCCAAAGGCTGTGGAGTAGATACCACCGTGACTCTTGTGCTCTCGATAGCAGCTCCAACCTGCAAATTTGAAAACAAAAGCTCTAGTCCTCAGAGGCTGCCTGCCATTCATGTAATGATTTGGGTGGAGGCATTTGAATTCTAAATGGTCCAAAGAGGGCCAATTATCATTTCATGAGTACATGATCATTAGTATTATTCATTAGCCAGGTTCATCTGTAGATCTTAACAGTCTTTGCCAAACAAGTAGCATTAAGCAGGCTTTGTGGATGGGGTCTCAGGAGGAGAGCTTAGTGTCAGGAGATCCGGGTATACAATAAACTCAGGTCAGGTACTTGCTTCTGAGAATACTGCTACCGACAAATTAAAGATTCACTTTTGTCAGACGCTCAGTACACGGTAATTAACATAAGGGGTGGGGCCTCCTGTGGGAAGGCGCTGATATATATATTTTTTGTTAGCAGGAGGACTATTTTTAATTGAATTTGATAATAACACCCTCTGAGTCATATAAACACTGGAACAGTTCTGAGAACATAAATTTAAAATTCCAAACCTGAGACACCACAAAGAAAGGACAGGAAAATTTCTCTCCTCTCTCTCAGAAAGCCCAGGCTAAAATGGAAGGGCTTGGGGAGGGGGACTTGAAGGAGATGGTTGAGTACGGTAGGGAGCTGGGTTTAGGGAGCATTTCCTCAGCACACACTGGAGACATAGCCTGCACCATCCTCTCCTCCACACACTAGGGGTCAGGCACACACTCCTGCTGCATTGCAAATGCTTCCTATATTTCTTTCTCCACCTAAGCTCCCCCCAACACACACACTTTTCCCTTCTCAGTCCTCCCTGTTTTCCCCTCTCTGACTGGAAAAGTTTCAGATTTCCTTAAAAAAATGATCCCTTACAATTTTTTAGTTCTCTCTGTTGTCCATATGGTGTAATTAAGTTTCTCCTCCCCCCTCCCACTCCCCCTTCATTGACTCTGCTGGATGGACAGGACCATAAATCTTGTGAACAAATGTTCAGGCTAAAACCCTCTGTGTGAGCATCATAATTTAAGAGGATTCATTCTCAGTTCATCTCTTGGAGACATGATCTCATAGCATCTGTTCTGGACAAAGACA